CCCTCCATCACCTACGGCAGCTCAGGGAGGGCGCTGAGCCCCCAGGCAGTAAGTGAAGCCCATGACCTCTTCGACACCCTCCTGGCCTCTGCCCGTGATTTTCTGGGTGCCAAGGAGCCACCAGTGCCCAGTGTGGGAGAGTACGTGCGGGCAGAGATCACACGCAGGGTCCCCGCTTTGGGGGGGGGCAAGGAAGATGCCCGACGGCTCCAGCTGGCCATCCTTGCCACGTGCCTCAAGCTGGAATGTTGCATCAGTGGCACCCACAGCATGGACCTGGTGGCCCTGGAGCCCTTTGGGGAGTACATCTCCCTGCCAGGCCTGGACTGCACTTTCCCGGGGTAAGCACAGGGCTCTGGAGAGGGACATGGAAGAGCATTTGAGGGGTGGGGAGCACCCTATCCCCAGCAGCACCTCCTCCTGCAGTGGCTACAGCAGCTTGCCCGAGCACATGCTCTCAGCTCTGCCAGAAGGCACCGTCCTGCTCAACAAGGCAGTGAGGACCATCCAGTGGCAAGGGTCCTTCCGTGAGGAAGAGGATAATGCCAGGGATTTCCCTGTCCATGTGGAGTGTGAGGATGGAGACACCTTCCTTGCTGACCACGTCATCGTCACCGTCCCACTAGGTGAGGACACCAACACCTTTCCTTGCTCTGCCTGTCCCCTCCAACCAGTTGGCACGGTTGGAGATGGGCAGGCTCCTGGTCGGAGAGGGGAGGCTGGGAAGGGGCTTTGGGAGGGGCAAGTATCTCAGACCCCACTTAAAAGCCCAGTAAACAGAGCTGCTGGTTCTTCTGCCTAATCTTCTCCTGCAGGTTTCCTCAAGGAACGCCACCAGGACTTCTTCCAGCCTCCCCTGCCCGAGCAGAAAGCAGAGGCCATTCGCCACCTGGGTTTTGGCACCAACAACAAGATCTTCCTGGAGTTCGAGCAGCCTTTCTGGGAGCCCCAGCAGGAGCTCATCAATGTGGTGTGGGAGGATGAGTCTCCCCTTGAGAAGCCCAGCACCAACCTAGAAGCTAGCTGGTTCAAGAAGCTCATTGGATTCGTAGTCCTCCAACCACCAGAGCAGTATGTGATGCGAGCATCAGCAACAGGGGTTGGGGCATCTAGGCAGTGTGACAGAGGATCTTGGTTCTGTCTGGAGCTTCAAGACCTTCTCTGGGTTGCTGGTGGCCTGTGGTGCAGCAGTTCTCCCACGGTACCTGGTAAGCAGCAGGAGGGTGGCAGCAGCACTCAGCCCCATCTTTCCTCCCCAGGCACGGGCATGTCCTCTGTGGCTTCATTGCAGGGAAGGAGTCAGAGTACATGGAGACACTGAGTGATGCAGAGGTTCTCAGCACCATGACACACGTGCTCCGCACACTTACAGGTAACTGCTGCCTCCTCTGTGCTTGTCACCCTATCCCCCTGGATTTCTGGATCCCACTGAGAATCTGCACCTACAGGGAACCTGCTCCTGCCCGCTCCTAGGAGCATGCTCCGGTCCCGGTGGCACAGCGCTCCCTACACCCAGGGCTCCTACAGCTACGTGGCCGTTGGCAGCTCTGGGGATGACATTGACATCTTGGCTCAGCCCCTGCCTGAGGACCCTGAAGACCCCAGGGTAACTGCTTTAGGTTGGGGGATGGCAGTGGCTATGGAAGAAACGGGATCTCCTGGCTTGGGGCCAGGGCACCCCAGGCCATGAGGAGCACAGGGACATGGCACTCCCCACTTCCACTCCATTCGGGGGTCACCAGTGTTCAGGTCACCAACCACCCCCCCAGCTCTTCCCACTGAGCTCCATGGGTGTGTGGGGAACCCTGCTTCCATAAAATTTGGGGATGCTTGGCTGTTTCTAACCACTTTCTGGCATCAGGAGGTTGCAGTCAGGTGGGGGTCAATCTCTTTTCCCAAGTTACAAGGGATAGGACAAGAGGAAATGGCATCAAGCTGCACCAGGGCAGGTTTAGACTGGAGATTAGGAACAATTCCTTGCCCAGAGCTCAGGCATTGGAACAGGCTGCCCAGGGCAGTGGTGCAGGCACCATCCCTACAAGTGTTCACACCCCGTGTACACAAGGCCATCAGTTACATGGGTTAGTGGTGGCCTTGGCAGTGCTGGGGAACGGTTGGATTTGATTATCTTAAAGGTCTTTAACAACCTGGTTGATTCTGTGAGTCTATGATGCTCACGGTATGGGGTGGGTCTCTAAGGAAAGGAAAGTGCCCTATGGCTGCAGAGTGGGTCATGCACGTGTGGGGTGCCAGCGGGCAGGGAGATGAGGCTGGGTTAGGATAAGCCCCGTTGTGCTGGGGGGAGGGCAGCAAGTACCCCCGCCCCTTCCCTTCCTGCAGCCCCTGCAGCTCCTCTTCGCCGGCGAGGCCACGCACCGCACCTTCTACTCCACCACGCACGGGGCGCTGCTGTCGGGCTGGCGAGAGGCCGAGCGCCTCAACCAGCTCCTTGAGACACCCCTCGGCTCTGAGGTGCAGAAATAAACCCCGTGCTTTGCTGCTCAGCCTCCTTTATTGAGAACCCGGCCGGGCAGACACACGCAGAGAGGCTTCTCTTTCTGCAGGGCATGGACGCGGCTCCTCGGCTCTGTTCCGGCGGGGACAGGGGTCTGCAGCGTTAGTACCAGTTGGTGCTGGCGATCAGGTAGCGGGGGTCGTCCAGCGGGCACTGC